TGTGTGTGTATGTGTGTGTATCTCACGCTCTCTCTGCATATTAATTGCTGCATTTCTGCTGCAGCGGAGCAAACAATCAAAGCATCACAGGCGGCGGCGGCTCATGCCATTATTGTACACACACACACAGGCACACACACACAGGCACACAATGGCAAATGTACACATGTGTGCACTTGTAGACTGGCATGGCTGCTGACACAAATGCAGCACACAATGGCTCATCCAGCAGATATGTCGGGTGTCAGCACAGACATTTGGAATCTCAGCAAATGCGTGGCGAGCATCACATCCGAACCCGAAGGCCTCAGCAGCTCGTCAACTCCAGGCAAGTACGGCGCACCTTCATCAGTCCGTCGTCCCTTCCTCTTGTCTTCTTCACACTTTTGCGTGTGTGTGTGTGTGTGTGTGTAGGGGCAGGGAAGGAGTTCGGACCCACGCTCGGACCCTCGGAGAACAGCGCAGGCACGCAACGTGTTTGGACTCTTTAGGCGTGCAGGTGTCCACTTTGAAGGGTGGTAAGGAGGCGATGTGAAACTTGCGTGTTGGAAACGGGATCAGAGTTCACAAAACAAATGAAGGGGCGCCTCGTGTTCACTTTTCATGACAAATCCAGAAAGCGCATCATGCAAAAAAAAAAAGAAAGCTTTGTAATAGCCTGACTCATCTATTTTGTAGCATCGATCAATTTTTTTTGTCGTCAACCGTAATGTGCTGAAAGTGGAGTCAAAGCGGTCCATGACCTTTTTTTGTCCCATGGACCACATTGACGTAACGACAGCAATGACGTGGAATGTAGTAGTTGTAATTAGCATGTTTTTGTCTCCGACAAGCCGTGTTAGCCATCATGCTTTGTTGGACGTAACATTTTGCCGAGCAAGATGGAACTTGCGAACTTTCCACGCCACCATTTGGTCCGTGGTCCCGTCAACATGAATGTCGGAAGACGAGTGGCAATCGAGCTGGCGGAGGCTATAGTGAGGCTAACTGGCGTCGTAGCTTCCGCGCAGATGAATGAAAATCGCGTTTCCGATTTGGCGGGTTGTTTGACTGCTCCACAGAGCATTGTCGACCGGTAACGGCGGTACAGGGGCCAATCATAAGACCAGATACTATTAATACTTGTTTTGCCAGTAGTCGACTGCTGGGGGAAGAGTGGTCTTTCTCTTCCTCCGCGTGTTTGTTAATTTCGGACGATGAGGATGTTGGTTATCCGAGTGAAATCTTTGAATGTCAATGTTCAGTCGTCAAGTCGAGCTGTTCCTGATTGTGGCTGATTTGGGCCAATTTGTTTTTCAAATGATGAGTCCTGAAATTGCCCAAAAACGGCGGCTTCAAGCCAAAATTGCCATCTTCTAAAATGAATTTGGAAGCTAGCCCTTGACAGAAGCGTGCACCCAATTTTCCATATTTTCCAGGGGTGCGACTAAGTGACTTTTGAGGGGGTTATGTTTGGGACCCCCTAAATCCCATTTTCACCAAAAAGCATTCTTTGCAAAATTGTGTGATGTTGAAGGACCCCTTCACATACCGGCAGTTCCAAGAAGGCCAATAACCTGAACAGTCATTGTCGATGGGTGCCAATCAAAACTGAGATCTGAATGGGATAAAAAAAATGAACATCCATTTGCAGTGACACCTCCACTATTCATGCATTCTTCTGCTGATGTAAGAAATGACCATTGGCAGCATGTGAACAAGTTCTTGCCGTTTACCTAGAAACAAATTCAAACAGATGTCGATTGTTTCATCACACCTTGTTTATTAGCTGGTCGACTGTTTAGCTTATGTTAACTAGTTCAATATGCAGTCAACTTTTGAGCATCGGTACTTTTTTTTTCCTTTTTCTTCATCCTCTTGTCTTTTGTTTTTTTTAATCGATAAGTCCGCTTAATTTTGTTGTGCGGCAGACATTTTTTCAACAAGCCTGCCAATAGGAGACCCCATTAGAGAAACGAGCGACGCACAACTTGTCATCAGAATATTTCTTCAAGTTGTGTTGTCTGCATGGACTAATTAACAGGCCACCAGTGCTGATGAGCCGGCACAGCGAGTAAGGGGCCTCTTTGCGGGTATTGCTGACGGCCTCACGTTGTCGTTCCCGTTCAGAATTTGTCTTTTGTCCAAAAATGTCATTCGAACGTCACTCGCCGTAGAGCGACTGCGGCGTACTCCTTCGACTCGAGTTATTTAAAAATCCGAAAATATTTTACATATTTGTCATGCCATTCGACATGTTTGCCCCCCCCCCCAAATTTTTTTTTGGGGGGGGCATCCTGTGCTGCCGCAGCACACTTGGCACATGCCACCCAGTGCCACTGGGTACCGGGGTGTGCTTTTGATCTTAGGACAAATAAATGACATTGAGTCAGCCTTCAAGAACAAGAAGTGGGACATTCCATCTTTCAGCCTGTTTTTCCGACAGAAGCCAGCAAGGCATGACATCGTTTGGCTTTCCCGCCAACCAAAATGGGAATGGTGCTTTCAGACAAGCGTGACTTGTAAAAAGACTCTTTAATTCCACGCCAGCCGAAGTTCCGGCTTGCCACTTTGACCCCGCGAGACGGAATGAGACGCAAATGGCTCTCGAATTGTCAGTTTAAGAAGTTCTTGTGGCTTCAACGCCATCCGTGTGACAACTGAGACGCTTCTTCTTGTTCTTGTTCCTCCTGCGTGTCAGCTGCCATATTCGGGACGGCGGGACGACGCTGTTGTAAAATGGAGCCCGTGCTGAGATCATAATTAACATTTCCAACCTACACGGAGCCCTCCGCCCTGAAGAATGGAGGGAGGGAGAGAAGAGGGGGGAGAGAGAGAGAGAGAGATAGAGAGAGAGAAAGAGGGAGGGAGGGGGAGCCGCCGTATGCTTGTACACAAGCCCGATTTCCATTTTTCCCCCAAGTCGTAATGTATTTAATTCAAGCTGAACGTAATCATGACGTGTCGCGTCATTAATCTGCGAGCCAGCTCACGCGTAAGTACGAACGTTTTTCCGTCGCTGCCGCCTGCCTGCCCGAGAAATGTGCATGGATGTGCGTGTGTGTTCACGTATGTGCGCGCGTGCGTGCGTGCGTACGCGTGTGCGCGCCGACTCACCTAGACGTGCACTTTGCTCCCCGGTCGCTTTTTCTTGCAGCTTATTGTTGGCTCGTCGCTTTGTGCTGGGAAAAAACACTTTTCGTGCGCGGAGCCTCGCGCGCGCGCTTCATTTTTGCGAGTGAGATACGAGTGGCACACAAGTCACATATGGGCACACACACACACACACACCACCCCCACCACCCCAACCCCTTGCCTTCGCTAACTTTGAGCAAGTTGCGCGAGCGAACCGAAAGCGAAGTCACCGCAGCTCAAATTGCATGTGGCGCTTGAGTTGCGATCACACACACACACACACACACACACGCACGCACACACACACACACACACGCAGATTTGCGGCGATCAGCCTTTTGTTGCGGGGCCAGGCAGGGCGCGCGCGAGCACACACTTGCATAATCCGATTGTTCCGGACGCTGCACGTAAGAAGAAAAAAGGAAGAAAAGTGTGCGGGCTGGTCCACATGGAACTTGGAGTTCTTTCGATTCGTTTGTGGAGATTTTCACATGTGATCCGTGATGGCTCGTCCTCTTCCTCCTCCTCCTCCTCCTCCTTCTTGTACAGCCCTCGAACATTTGGGGAGCAAAATGGAGCCGCCAGTCGCTCACATGACTACGTTCAGCTCTCTCGCTTTTTTTTTTTTTTTTTTGCCACCTTGTGGACGCTTTCTCTTGTTGGGTTAAAATGTTTTTACATCTTGATGCAAATCAGGAGGATGTTCTCGGTTGAGTTTTGGTCATGAGACTTCTGACAGTTTTCTGTTCTATTCGCTTTTTTTCTTTTTTTTTTATTTGGGGGAGGGGGGACGAAGCAAAAAGTGTTCAGGTGTGCGCGCGATTGTGTTGACTGGGTTGTCAAGGACGTCGCTTTATTCAGGCTTCTTCCTTTTGGCCTTTGTGTTGAGGGGCCACATGCATGATGTCCAGGTGGCACTCTGTGTGTGTGTGTGTGTGTGTGTGTGTGTCCTCTCCTGGTTTGGCTGCATTGTGACACTTGGAGCCTCTTTTGCTCATCAGCCCTCTTAGCGGGGGCCATTGTAGATGATGTACTACTTTACGTTCCAAAGCAACAAGTGGCCCCCACGGTGGCCAATCAGAAGCCAGGAGAAAGACATTTTTAGAAAAATAGCAACAGCCAAAAATAGAGCTCATAGTATAGACACGGGGACTCTTGGGAAAGTCAAATCTCAACTTTCTAGCACCTTTCCTTAACATTTGTGGGAAAGGTCACGAGGTCAAGGTATTTCCTTTTGAACAGGACATTACTGTTGAAAATGAATCTGGGTCCGCTTTCCCCAAGTGACATCCCCTCGCAGCATTTAGCAAGTTTTGCTGGCGTCACTCTCCAGTGTGGAGAATTTTTTTTTTTTTTTTCTGAAGGTGGACTGCAAAAAGCACACCATGAATCAAAGTGTGCTCGACTTGCTTGTCACCAACGGCGACATTCACTTAAGAAGTGAAACTTGTCTTGATGTGGAATTTCACTGGCCCAGTAGATTTTCTTCAATGGGAAAAAGTTGAAATTTGAATTCCTAGCGGTGTAGCTTATTTTTCTTTTCTTTTGCTTTCGAACCCTCAAGCATCCTTGCATATTTTCAGTAAAACATCATCAAGGCGATTTGGGTGACGTCCATTCATTAACATTAGTCAGGTCTAATGTATGCGAAAGTTTGCGGCCCGTCACCTTTCCAAAGCATTTTTAGAATTCCAACAAACACTCGATTCGGCTCCATTTAAAAAAAAAAAAAAAAAAGGAGAGTAACAAAAGTGAAGAGGCCCATGACGTATGTGCAAAGAAGCGGCTTTGTGTGGCAGCGTTGGCGCGTCCGCCATTTTGGATGTGACAGCTCATCGTGATCCGATGGACTGAACTCGTAAATGTTGAATCGGGGTCGAGGATAACCGGGTCCCAGAATGTAGATGTGACGTGTGGGTCTTGGGACTGAAGCGCACAAAGGTTTATATTGAACTGATTTTGATGAATGGTGATTTCTATCAAAGTAGCAATTAATAAGATCATCTAGCTACTTTATCAGCTCTTTATCTTTGCCATATCCGACCGAGTAGGAGAAAAGTCAGCAATCTTCAGGTTCTGTAAGAAACGCATCTTTGATTTAGACATTATTGTGTTGGTCACGACGCTAAATGTGCTAATTGTGTTGTCACAATGATGTCATGGCCGAATCCCATCCAAAGTCATTGTCCAGTCTTAAAATGTGGCCCCCAAGCCCAAGTTGGTGACTGCAGGATTTATGCAGCAGCTGTTATGCTTCCCATCGTACACGTAAGGTCCCCCTCAAAATCGCTTTTGTGAAGAAAAAAAATCTGCAAAAAGAGATAACAAAAGTCCCTTGCGCTTCATTAGTAGCCACTAGACCTTGAAGGACTCTGCGGGAGCGCCGAGCCGTCGGTGGGTTTCCGTCGGACACCCGGGAGAACATTCCTGCTTTGTCGTGTTCAAAGAGGAGGTGCGACGTGCAGACGTGCGCTAACCTGCACTTTAGGATCAACTCGGGATACTTAGACGTTGACAACATACTGTACTGCCGTCTACTGCAGGCACGCAAAAGCTTTTTGCGGTGGTGGTCGGATGACGTGACTCAGCGCAAACATTTGTGGCTTGAATGTTCCCCCGCAAAGCTTTTTGGAAGTGGCCTTGTTCAAGCCATTGTCATCACAATTGACTGAGGAAGGAATGAACGTTTCGAACGTAAAGCGCAGCACGAGCGCAAATCAAAGCTGATTTTTGTTGGGGGGAGCGAGAAGGCCCTCGAGGTCCAGCTTCCACAAAAGTCCAGGAGTGACTATGATTCTGTGTCGAACATCATAAGTGGTGCCCCTGTGCTGTTACAAAAGTAGTCACACTCTTAGTAGTAGACATACTTGCGGATGATTCTGATGTGATTCAAGTAGTGTACTGAAGTTGGAAAAAAAGTACAGTCTTTGAAATATACTATAAAAGTTAAACAGGATTTTTACTCTTACCATATTGGTCCGAATATAAGACGGCCCTGATTTTAAGACGACCCCCTCTTTTTCAAGACTCAAGTTTGAAAAAAGACTTTTTGAACACCAAATTAATTTTTATACAGAAAATAATTGCAGTACATCTGAAACAAATGATTATAACAATATATTTGAGAGAAAAAGCATGTTATTTTACCTCATTCAAATCTTAATATCTGAACATTTAAATATGTAAACTAAAATGTATTATTTTAGTTTACATAATTATCGCATAATTATCTCTTCTATTATTTTCTTCTCTTTTCTTTCTTACCGGTATTTTTTATTTTTCTTCTTTGTGCTACCGCTATTTTTATTTTTATTCTTCGTGGCAGGGGTTTATTTTGGCCTGGGGAGTCAAGTTCAGCATTCGCTTCAATGATATCTGGCGCCATCTAGCGTCGTGAATTGGTATAATGTCTAGACCCCGAATATAAGACGACCCCCACTTTTTCAGTCTTATTTCAATGCAAAAAACACCGTCTTATATTCGGGCCAATACGGTCGTTTTTATAACAACACCCATTTGGATAAATTACAAAAAAAAAAAGCACAAAATAATTCCTCTTTTGTTTTTTAAATGAACTTACACACTGAAGAAGAAGAAAAAACATCAGTGGACCATGCGTTCACTCACCAAACAGTGACACCCTCATGAGCATAAGAGCTAATGGATGCATGGAAGCCTATTTTAACAAAGTGAGTAGAACATACGCATCTGGTTTAAAATATACCGAGTAAAATGAAATCGCTGTTTGAAAAATAAATACTAAGGGAAAGTACTGATTCTTGAAAAAAAACCCGACTGATACAGAGAGAAAGTATTTGCACTTGGCTGCTCCCCACCACTGTACATGGACAATTGGAGCAGCATAAGGTCCCACAAGCGGAGGAATCTCCTGAGCTGACCTTGTTCGCATCTGAGGCTTTTTTTTTTTTAAGGTTCTGAAATTCCTCGTTCTTCCTTTACGGTGGCGTTTGGGCTGTGAGGATTTCCTTCCACCTCTACGGGTGCCGCTCGGCACCATGTTGGGCCGGTGGCACTGTGGTGGCAAGATCTGTCATGGCGGAACAAAGCCTAGCTTATGAAAATGCTGCGGATACATTTAGCTGCCATGTACACTCGCGCATGCACACACAAACACACGCATCCGTGCGCGCGCACACACACACACGCACACACACACACACACACACACACACACACACACACACACACACACACACACACACACACACACACACACACGCACACACAGCAGGTTTGGGTTGATCTTTTGTAAAAGCTCCGCGTGTTTTCTTTCTCTTGTGCCTTGGCTTCTTTGCACTTCGCCATGTTGGCAGCCTCCAGTCTACCAGCTGATAGCATTCTCTGGCATGGCGCCAAACTACAGCA